TACAGTGGCCGTATAGGTGGTATTTGAGTGAGACCAATATATGATTACAGTGGCCGTATAGGTGGTATTTGAGTGAGACCAAGAGTGAGACCAATATATGATTACAGTGGCCGTATAGGTGGTATTTGAGTGAGACCAATATATGATTACAGTGGCCGTATATGTGGTGTTTGAGTGAGACCAATATATGATTACAGTGGCCGTATAGGTGGTATTTGAGTGAGACCAATATATGATTACAGTGGCCGTATATGTGGTGTTTGAGTGAGACCAATATATGATTACAGTGGCCGTATAGGTGGTATTTGATTTAGCCAGTAAGCCAGAAAACGAGATGTGATCACAAAGGTGGTATTTGGATTGGCTGGTGTTATCAAAGGTCTTGAACAAATAATTTCATTGAAATATGTGTTGGGTACGGAGGGGGGGGGGAGAGCTGCTAGTAAACATATTAATACAAGGGGGAAGGGGAGGTATACAGGCTATATAAGTTAATGTGTAGATGGTTCACCTGTTGATAAGGCTCGCTTTTCATCGTCCCACTCATCGGCCGAACTTTTCAAGAGTCAAAATTTCCGAGAAGTGATTGAGCCAAAGCTTTTCGTGCGGAGTTTTTAAGAATGCTCCAAATGACGAGACTTTGCGAGACTTCCAAGTGCCGAGACTTTACGAGACTTCCAAGTGCCGAAACTTTGCGAGACTTCAAAGTACCGAGACTTTGCGAGACTTCCAAGTGCCGAGACTTTGCGAGACTTCCCGTGACCGTACGTCAAACTGAATTTCCACTTCTACTCCAGTGACTGTTTGTGTTTTTACCCCAAAGTTTATTTACAAAAGCTTACTCGTATAACCGAGGCCTAATTAGAACTAATGAAGCACGCGGCTTGAGAAATTAAAAACAAGAACACAGCCTGTATGTCGCTACCTGCCCCCGCCACTTACACCAGCAAGCACCCACTAAATTGGCCATTTTCCGACCAAACCAGGCACCCTTAAATCAGCTTCCGGTTCCGCCAAGAAGCTAATCGCACGGGAGATTAACACGTCATAGAATGACGGAGCTCTCCGGGAAAGAAAAGAAATTGTTTGAAACAATAGAAGCGCCCGGGCATCAATCAGCTTCCAATTTAAACGATTCCCATTCTGTTCCCGGCAGTATTTAGTTGCAATTATCTCCCCTTTGATTAGCTACGTTACAGGTGTCGCTACAAGAAGGTGAACTCGGGAGCGAATCAACAGGCTAATGTTACTTTGGCTGGGGTAGTCTCCCTTTAAACGATTTATTTTTAAACGCCATAATGTCTGACGTTACATAAGGTAGCTATGAAATGGGGCGGCCAGTGCTAATTTTTGGGAAAATTGAGAAAAAATTTCTTTCCCAAAAGTGAAAATAAGTTTGTAAAGGTCAGCTGTAGGAGAAGCAGAAGTAGCCGGAATGACGTGGGCCTAACTTGGAGGAATCAACCAGAACTGAGTACAGTGGAGAGGTGTGGTTGCGTCCCAATGCTCCACAAGGGGCCCACATGAGTTATGATGATGAAGATGAAGATGAAGATGAAGATGAAGATGAAGATGAAGATGAAGATGAAGATGAAGATGAAGATGAAGATGAAGATGAAGATGAAGATGAAGATGAAGATGAAGATGAAGATGAAGATGAAGATGAAGATGAAGATGAAGATGAAGATGAAGATGAAGATGAAGATGAAGATGAAGATGAAGATGAAGATGAAGATGAAGATGAAGATGAAGATGAAGATGAAGATGAAGATGAAGATGAAGATGAAGATGAAGATGAAGATGAAGATGAAGATGAAGATGAAGATGAAGATGAAGATGAAGATGAAGATGAAGATGAAGATGAAGATGAAGATGAAGATGAAGATGAAGATGATGAGGATGAGGATGAGGATGAGGATGAGGATGAGGATGAGGGTGATGATGATTATAATGATGATGATGATGATGGTGATGATGAGGATGATGATGGTGATGATGAGGATGATGATGATGATGATGATGATGATGATGATGATGATGAAGAAGATGATGATGATGAAGAAGAAGAAGATAATGATGATGGTGGTGATGATGATGATGATGATGATGATGATGATGATGATGATGATGATGATGATGATGATGATGATGATGATGATGATGATGATGATGAACTTAAAAATATAGATCTAGATCTATTTGTAAACGTTTATGATTTTCAAACATTTTCTATAATGTACCATCATAACACTTTCCTAGATGTACTAATTTGTTTTATTGTCTGTCAGAATGAATGATCACTATATTGTTTTCCAGCGTGCACTATGTAAAGACAATTATTTTTGTAGACCATTTGCATTTTTTAAAACATCGCTATTGCCCAGATGAGGCGAATTCCTCTTTGAATTTGTAACTGTATTCGTGTACGAGCCAACAAACGAAACGCTCCTCTGTTGTAATTAGGCGGCGGGGAAGTGCTGGAAAAAACAAACTCCAAGTCCCGGGGATTAAATCCTAGCCTTTAGCTCGTCGTCTGCTGTTATCTTCTGCCACTCTGGTAATCCAGCCTCGAGATTAGAGAGTAATTACCGCTCCCGGCAGACGTCAAACTAAGGGCTGTTGTTTTAAGCATTAAATTGACTCAACGTGAGGCGGAATAACTCTTTTCAACAAGTGCAAGATTTATCCCCCTTCTCTTGAACCCATTTTTTTTTCTTGTTATTTTTATGTCTAGTTGGCAAGTTTTTCATAAGTGGTCGTGTGGAAACCGTGAAAATAGCTATTAAATTATTATTATTTTTTTGCATATTTCAATCATCGGCGTTCCCTTGAATTATATAGCTAAAGAACAGAAGAGAATAGGGGGGGGGGGGGGGCGAGGACTAGTTACAAGGGGGGGGGGGGTAGCAAAAGCACCTACTCTACATAAATCAAAACAATTTACTTGATGGTGAGATAGAGCCAATTTGTTTGTTCACTTATATCAAATTAATTGACTTGATTGTGAAATAGAGTCAGTTAGTTTCTTCAGCCCCTTATATCAAAACAATTGACTTTTATGTGAGGCTCAGCGGCACACATATGTGTTATTTTCCTGCTACCATAAACGCCACTTCATGTAGAAACCTCCTGACTATGATTTGATAATGGTATCCCCTTACGGGACGACGTGACGAAAAACTGTACAGTTAAAATCATGACGAATCCGTTTTTACTTTCTCGTATATACGAAGTATAGAGAAAGTATTGTAATCGTGCACAAAAATCACTTGAAATTTTAACAATTTTCACCGTATCACACCTCAGTCCTTCATCACATCCGAAGTATAGAGGACTTATTTTAATCGGGCAAAAATTATCAATCCAGATTTATCAAAATTAAGATGTTTTATGCGTAATCCAGTCTGAAAAACTGGGCTTTGCAATTCTGTCCGTATGTCTGTGTGTCTGTGTGTGTGTCTGTGTGTAAACACGATTACTTGAGTACCGTTACAGCTAGGTTGATGAAATTTCATATATAAGTATTTTATCAAAATCGTAGATCCGTATCAACTTTTGAGCGATTTCTGATAACCGGAAGTGGTACTTTTTCTACTTTGAATTTTTCAAAAGCCTATAACTTGAGTACTATTTGAGATAGATAAATGAAATTTCACATGAGAGTAAAAGATGTAATTTTCTACCTTCTGTTAAATTTTGAGTAATTTCCGTTGACCGGAAGTAGTAATTTACGCTACTTCCGATTTCTCAAAAAACTAATGTAAATGTTTAAATTACTAATAATATTGCGCACTATTATGCACTTTTTTATTTAGCGTTCACTTGGTGTGCAATTCTTTTGTCTACGAGATTTTATTCTATTTTTAAAACTTTAAGTATTCAAAATGGATTAAAAATCCTGTCTATAGCCCGAGTTCCCATCCCCTGTTGTTTTACATAAGAATATTCGAGAAAGTTTAGGGGAGATCACTCCCGGTTTATTAATTAGGGATTTAATTCATGACATTTATATCAACATAAAATATAGAACATAGTACACAGCACATATAAAATAAATTTAAATAGAATTTAAAGACAACATCTGGAAATAAAAACAGTAAAAAGTCTTGTTGGATTAGTTATACCGGTCACAGGTAGACTCAACAATGGATTGGTCTGTTCAATAGATCACTTGATTGGTGGGATTTGTTTGTATCAATCGTCAGGTCGACAAGTTCTAGACATTACAACATCATACTATATATACACACTTGAGAACTTATCACACAAAGCATGTTAATGGCACAAGCACTCACGAACTTAACACGTACGCTAAACCCACAAAATACATGATAGTCTAACAAAACATACATATGGCCGCATTGGAAGATAGAGACTAATTAATGTACAGGATAGGATAAAGTTCGTACAAACTGTATATACAGAACACTGTACCGTTTAAACACTACTTACTGTGTACACACTACGAGTCACATGTACATATTACACACTGTACTGTGTACACACTACACACTGTAGTCATGTGATTGTCTGTGTTAACTCGTTATAGCCTTGAAGAAACAAGTCCTTTACCTCTTACACCAGGTTTCATTGAAGAACTAAAGATGCTACACGTGTGATTTGACATGTGTCATCGTGTAGGTGACATGTGTCATCGTGTAGGTGACATGTGTCAATGAATACACACGCCTTAAACTCCAAGAACATCTGGATATTCTAACTTCAGCTGTACAGACCCAAGTTTAGGTTATAAAATATTATATAAAAATCTAAAGCCGTCTAAATATAACACAGAAATGTGCCCATTGGTTCGTTATATACATCTTCTTAACTCGGTACTTTTAGTTTAGTTTATTTACATCTTACTTTGGTCGATTAGTTGACTATTTAAATCTTACTTTGGTCACTTAGTTGACTTTATATCTTACTTGACTGGTTACAGCCAAGGGTCCCAGGTAAGACTTAACTATCAGCCAGTCAGCGCTGCCCAGCCAGTCCAATCACAGAGCGATGACAGAGTTGACCCCCATGGACGGGTCCTCACCATCAGGGGCGACCATCTGACCCCCGCCTGACGTCAGAGGACTCCTGTAGCCGTGGAGCGAGGCTTTGTCCAGCTGGCTGAAGCCGTACGTGTTCAAGAACGGGTTGGCCTTCAGCTGGTCCTGGCCCAACCTGGGGAAGATGCTGGAAAACGGGTTGCCCCAGCCGGGGTTGGAGAAGTTGAGGGGCAGGTGCAGGGACTTGTTGGGGAGGGGGGAGCTGCTGGTCGTGTTGGTCGGGCTGAACTGCCCGCCCAGGTAGCTGTAGGGGGAGGGGAAGAGGCTGGTGGTGCTCATTAGATTGGCGCGTGACGAGCTTCGGCCCGGGCTAGAGCGGGGCGGGTACAGGTAGGTGTTACCAAACTGACTCATAGGTGACTTGCTGGGGTGAGTACTTAAAACATGGTTGTCTTGACGGCCGCTCGTGACCTTGTTCGATGACCTTGAGTTATCAACTGAAGCGTGAACTGGGCTGTAGGTTTTGTTGCCGGAAGTGTGAGTCTCTTTGTATGAGAGCAGGGGCGAGGCGGGGCTGGATAAGTTTCTCTCCAGTCTGGAATCGCGGGGTGCCTTCTTGTTGTTTGGTAACACGTGCGCTGGTTTATAGCTCTCGGGGGTTCTCGTGGAAGGTTCTAGGTCATTGCTAGCGTCGGTGTTAGCGAGGTGACCAGATTTTGATGACGGTATACTATTATACACCGATGACGTTTTTTCGTCGAGTGACGTCATGTCCTTGTGAAGGGAGTGTGACGCGTTCGAGTCACAGCTTCTTTCGTCATCCGATGACATGTCATCGCTGTCTATGACGTCATCGCCGGCATCCGAAGATGGCGGGAAATTCTTGGCTGTGTACTCCATGGCGCGCGCTCTGAGAGCGGCGATACTCTCAGACCGGAAGTCCTCGGGTTTCCTCCCCTCCTGCTCCCCGCCGGAGCCTCGGTCCTGGTCCGGGTCCTGGCTGTCTGTGTTGGTGTCGTTGGATTTCGATCCCGTGCTCTCGATGGACTTACGGTACATGCCTGGTGGAGTAGCGAGGTTAATTACTGGTTTATTACAATCAAGTGACAAAAAAGTACACAATCAAGTGACAACAAAGTACACAATCAAGTGACAACAAAGTACACAATCAAGCACAAAGTGCACAATCATGTAGAAACAAAGAACTCAATCAAGTATCAACAAAGTACACAATCATTTAGAAATAAAGGACACAATCAAGCAAAAAGTACACAATCATGTATCAACAAAGTATACAATTATGTAGAAACAAAGTACACAATCAAGTATCGACAAAGTACTAAATCATGTAGAAACAAAGGACACAATCAAGCACAAACTACACAATCATGTAGAAACAAAGTATACAATCAAGTATCGACAAAGTACACAATCAAGTATCAACAAACTACACAATCAAGCATAACCGCTTGCATAAGGTTGCGTCATTTGGTACGTCTCTTACTCACACAGCTGCAAACATCCTCTCTATCCTAATACATCATATCGTCCACACAATCCACCAATCATACCTACATACACCCAACACACTTCACCTTAAACTTAAAAACGATATTATAATTTCACTCAACAAAGAGACAAGTTCACTGAGTACAACACAGCCCGTTAGAGGCTTAAACTTCATGACATCAGACAACCCTAACCCTGACCCACGGGACTTCTGCCAACCCTGGCTAATTGAGGACAAACTATCGCAGGCCAGGTATCTGATTCAGGTAAAAAATCGATGATGTAGATTGAGTGATTGAAGCCGTAATTAGATTGACAAACTTCCAAACGCCAGTGTTGGAACTGGCCCTACACGGAATTACTTTCTATAGCGTCATAGTAGCTTGGCTTAAATCTAAACCAAACCCCGTTCCATAGCCAGAGATTAGGCCTGCCTCAAGTCTAACCTAAACCCAACTCAACTATGGTTTTATTCCCTAAACCTCTTCTAACCATTTTCACAGATATTCAACACAAAGTTATCTAGCGAGTTAGAAGCTTGTGGATTCAAATGTAAATATTTGTATACTTGTATCGCACCTGAGCGTTATGTCAAATATGCTTTCTAATTATACGTTTTGCTGTTGCTAATGAACAAGTCCAGATCAAGTTGTGACCTGTTTGTCACTTCAGGGTGTGACCCGGATGTCAGTTCAGGGTGTGACCCGAATGTCAGTTCAGGGTGTGACCCGAATGTCAGTTCAGGGTGTGACCCGAATGTCAGTTCAGGGTGTGACCCGGATGTCAGTTCAGGGTGTGACCCGGATGTCAGTTCAGGGTGTGACCCGGATGTCAGTTCAGAGTGTGACCCGAATGTCAGTTCAGGGTGTGACCCGGATGTCAGTTCAGGGTGTGACCCGGATGTCAGTTCAGGGTGTGACCCGGATGTGAAACTTACTCAAAAGCCAGGGCGCCGATGACTCCAGAACTCCCTCTTTGGCGCTCTTGACGATGGTCTCCGGGAGTGGCAGTGAGTGTCTGACCATGGCGCCATACAGGCCATACTCCGCCATGATGGAACTCCGGCCCCAGGTCTTCTCTGTCTTTCTCCACTTGGCACGGCGGTTCTGGAACCACACCTGTGGAGCAGCAGGAACAGGTTGATTCGGTGTGTGGTGGTACTAGCTGTGTGGGGTAGTGCATACTGTGTGGGGTAGTACATGCTGTGTGAGAAATGACAGGTTGTGTGGGGTAATAAAGGTTGTGTGGGACAACATAGTTTGTGTGGGACAAGACATGTTGTGTGTGTGAAAAGACATATGCTTTTAGGCTAAAGGTGCATCTAATTATGCTTCTGTCCAGTGATACAAATAGAGATGCCTTGCTTTAATTCTCCTTTCTCCCCCCCCCCAGTTGTCAATAATTAACAAAGAGTATTAAGTGAGGAGTGACTCCCCTCCCCCCCCCCCCAGTTGTCAATAATTAACAAAGAGTATTAAGTGAGGAGTGACTCCCCTCCCCCCCCCCCCCCAGTTGTCAATAATTAACAAAGAGTATTAAGGTGAGGAGTGACTCCCCCCCCCCAGTTGTCAATAATTAACAAAGAGTATTAAGGATAGGAGTGACTACCCTCTCCTCTCCCCCTCTCCCCCCCCCCCCCCCCCAGTTGTCAATAATTAACAAAGAGTATTAAGGTGGGGAGTGACTTCCATCTCTCCCCAGTTGTCAATGATTAACAAAGAGTATTAAGGTGAGGAGTGACGCCCTCACCGGTCGGGTGCCTCAGCTGTCCCAGAGGTCATCTGCTCAAAGACAAGATAATCGATTCTATCTGTCAGCCTGTTCAAACCAAATACCCGCGTTTGAAAAATGCAATACACTTTAATTAAAACCGATAAAAGGTATCGATTCTGCAATTTAATCGGCACAATAAAAGTTATTAAAAACAATTGCCGCTGCCTGTTGACAATCACACTTTTAACTATGGCCTCTCTTACGGCTAATGATTTACACATGTTAATTACAGCGCTGGATAAAAATCGAACACCGCTAGTTTTAACTAAGCGCTGCTTAAACTCTTGCTAATCTAGCTACACCCCATTCCAATTAAACCGAAGCCCAGAGGAAATGAACGATTCATGCGCTGAACTGAGTACACACCACACGGACACTAGCTTCGGCAGTCGCACTAAAAAAAAGTCCCCCCACCCTTATATTTTTTTCACTTAATCATTGTGCTGATGGAGGATGGGAGGGGGTGGGGCTATACAATCACCGCTCCCCTGGGGTAGTTCCCGTGGGTAGTTAATCTCCGAGTGAAACTATCTGTCTGTTGATTCACCACCATGTGTTGGATGCCGGGTCCTGTCGTCTGCTACTGTTGCAGACGTTCTGGAAGTTTTGGCAGACGAGTGGTGCCATTAGTGGCCAAACAAAGACACGGAAACAAAAGTTGACCGTCACGTCAAAATAGTTTACCATAATAAGATAACAAAAAGAAAAATCGAACGTAACATGAAAAAAAGAGAAATTGTTGACGGTACCACATCAAAAAAAGGTAGTTGACTGTTATTACATAACACATATGAAGGTTGACACAATGAAGAAACAAATCTGACCATCACATACAAAGACAACAAGATGACCGGTACATATAAACATAATTACTGCCAGTGTCGAAAACTCAGATTTTGATTGATGCCTACCAGCAGACACGTTGTACAGGTCTCACGTCTACAGAAACCTAAATCATTTTGTCAGATTTGGAATGTTGACGGTCACGTGAATCTTAAAATGTTGACCGTCACGGACATCACGTCAACTTGGAAATGTTGACCGTCACGTGACCCATGAGCTAAAACGAAATCTGTTTACCGTGGTCTAAAAGCTCACGGTGTCCCGTCCCCAGGGTGCGAGGGGGAGGGTGGGGGAGACACCGACTCAATTAACTAGATTAGTTAGTTCGCCAGGTAAGGCCCCACTTTTCACAGTCCTCTGTTTACAATTAATCACTCGCTTTGATTCAACCAACCCGCGCCCCGCCCCACACTTCCATTATACCCGGGCGCCATTTTGAATATTTAATTCCTCCACCCCTACCCAACTTCACCTTTGTATGTTGCAATTGAAAACGAGGTTATTATCTCGATGTTCATAAAAAAACGCAAGAATGGATTGCCGTGGCTTTGATAGGTCCAGTCGCGGGACTCTCTGCTTTATAATTCACCTGCTCATTAAAGTCTGCAAGCTGTAAGGCCCGGGCTCACCGGAGCCCTAGACTCGGCTCACCGGAGCCCCAACGAAACGAGCCAAGCGCGCCGGCTATTAAATGGATTGTTGAATGTTTAATTAGGTATTTTGCGCAGATAATTGTTAATTGCCATGTAGGTTTCTGTTGAAAGAGACTGGTTTATTGATGAGATCAATCGATCCATAGAAACCTAATCACTCGCGCTCCCAGCTGAGCAGCGGAGCGGAACCGCGTGAGTGGAATCATCAAGCCTGAGCGTGAGGTGAGTGCTGATCTTAGATATTAATAAACAACACTCGGTCTTGGACGCGCTGATGACCCCGCCACTTCCTCGTACCGTGCAGTGTTTTTGACAAAACGTTTGTCACGCGAATGTAATTTTCAATACATTCTTTCAGTTTGACAATACAAAATCTAGCACCGAATAACGATATTCAAATTCTATAAGGGCGCTGGAGACTCATTGACTACAGACTACCAGGCTCATTGACTACAGAATACGGTTTTTGCTTTCTGTCTACTTCAATTTATCTTCTCCTCGTGAAATTTTTTATTTACTCCATGCGGCCCAAAAATGTAGCTTAAAAATGAAGAATGTGTGCAAGACCGAAACAATGTGTCCATTTATTAAGAAAGGGCTGGCACTAATCGTTTTAAATTTGAATTTTTTTTCATTAACTATTGGCGGAGTACTGTGTTGTGAAGTTATTTTTAGCTCGCATAAAGCCCGGAAATGCGTTCTATTGTCGGGTTATTATTCTGTATTCATGAATGGACTCTCGAACATTTCCAAAGGTTCGACCGTAATATCCAGCACAAAAGTGGGATTGATTTCATCTATAATAAAACAGCGGACTAATACAGGCGCGTCACATCTAACGCGGACTTATACAGGCGCGTCACAACTAACGCGGACTAATACAGGCGCGTCACATCTAACGCGGACTTATACAGGCGCGTCACAACTAATGCGGACTACTACAGGCGCGTCACATCTAACGGGACTAATACAGGCGCGTCACATCTAATGCGGATTTATACAGGCGAGTCACAACTAAAGCGGACTTATACAGGCGCGTCACAACTAATGCGGACTAATACAGGCGCGTCATAACTAATGCGGACTAATACAGGCGCGTCATAACTAATGCGGACTTATACAGGCGCCCCACAACTAATGCGGACTTATACAGGCGCGTCATTACTAATGCGGACTTATATAGCCGCGTCACAACTAACGCGGACTAATACAGGCGCGTCATAACTAATGCGGACTTATATAGCCGCGTCACAACTAACGCGGACTAATACAAGCGCGTTAAATCTCTCGCACCGTGACGCGATTCATTGAAGACAAACAAGTAGTACAATACCGCCCAAAACACCGTCCAATCCCCCACCTTTTCGTCCCCACCCCCAACCTGCACATTAGTCACGCCCGACCCACCCTGTACACGAGAGAACCCCTCGCCTTGTCCCAGCCTCGTCCCGGGGGTCGGGCGTTCATTGCCAGATTTCCCTGAGAGATGTGAGACCCCGACACACAACTGGCAGCTGGAAGCCAGACACCATGTAGTCTCTGTCAACCAGATGTCCCTAGGGACCCCCCCCCCCCCCCACCGGTGTGGAGCAGCCTGCCCCACCCTACCACTGGCCGGGCACACCTTTAGTTAGAGAAACTCTGGTAACAAAATCGGTCTATTGAACACCTGGGCAGTGATGGTAACCGGATATCTGATTTGATTTTTGTCGGCTTATTATCGAATATACACACTAGCCTCACAACTGCCACATAACAGTCACACACCAACCACACACAACCCAGATCAGCCCCACCAGCCATACACCATTCACATCATCCACACGTCAGCCACACACCACCCACATCAGCCACACACCACCCACACCACCAACACGTCAGCCACACACCACCCACATCATCCACACGTCAGCCACACACCACCCACACGTCAGCCACACACCACCCACACGCCAGCCACACACCACCCACACGTCAGCCACACACCACCCACATCATCCACACGTCAGCCACACACCACCCACACGTCAGCCACACACCACCCACACGTCAGCCACACACCACCCACATCATCCACACGTCAGCCACACACCACCCACACGCCAGCCACACACCACCCACATCATCCACCCGTCAGCCACACACCACCCACATCATCCACACGTCAGCCACACACCACCCACACGCCAGCCACACACCACCCACATCATCCACCCGTCAGCCACACACCATTCACACGTCAGCCACACACCACCCACACGTCAGCCACACACCACCCACATCATCCACACGTCAGCCACACACCACCCACACGTCAGCCACACACCACCCACATCATCCACACGTCATCCACACACCATCCACATCATCCACACGTCAGCAACACACCAACCACACCCAAGCCACATCATCCCCACACACCACACACATATGAGCTACTACAGCTACTAACAACCCTATCCAACATCCTGATCTCGTCACTTGAAACCTGACTGATGCGATGCAGCCACTTACAGATATACAGATGTATACAGGCGGATATTGATGTATACAGATACCGACGGATATTGATGTATACAGATACAGACGTATACAGAATGATGTATACAAACACATACAGATGCATATAGATACAGTAGTGTACTGATGTATACAGACGGATATTGATGTATACAAACACATACAGATGTATATAGATACAGATGCATACAGATGTGTATGGGTGCATGGTCGATTTTCTTTGCCTCCGCTTTAAACTTTCGTAATGCGATTTAGTTTTAAACAAAAATACACCAACCTTACTTGTTACATTAATACGACCTTTAATTCAGTCTGTTCGAGTTGTGCCGGGAGTTGCCCCACAAATTGCCAGTTAATAGTTTTCATTGACTTCCACCAGACCTGGCCAATCCAAATATAGCCAGACAAAACAGATCGCCACACCTTGCTGACCAGACGACAGCTCAAGAATTAAATTTTCTAAAACCGTTTTCGTATTTATTTTCCCCTAAATCAAATTAACCAATAACTAATCGAAGATTTTTTTAAAAAGAAAAAATGGTCGGAATTTTAAATTATCTTAACTGCGCAAATTAAAAGTCTGTTTTCATTTAAATGTTTTTTGCACGGCTGAGTACTTCTCATTTAAATTCACCAACAAAAGATTTACCGTTCCACTCCTTTGCTCATCGCGACGATTAAGTATATGTTAATCATTCCAGCAAGAATTTAAATACGTCAATTCAATCAAAACCCCGGCCATTGTTTCAAGAATTCGCTTTTCATGCACATTTTGGTCATTGGCGTGCGAATATGCTAATCTGAAGATTGAATGCACGACAACTTCACGCAATCCGGGGCCAACTTGGACGACCTATGTTCACGTGAATTGTCTCTCCTGTGGTGCTAGAAAACTTATTTGCCTATCGACAAAAAACTGTCAGCCCTTGAAGCTGAGCAGCGCTAACATTGAAATAAGTCATTAAGGGCCGAGCTCTGGACTCGAAGCTAGGGGGCTCAGGTGGCGTTAAGGTACCGGCAAGTGCCGGCAAGTACCGGCTCTTTCATGTGCTAAACACGCCCGGCGTTACAAGATTTCATTTACATATCACGTGATTAAATGTTCAATTTACTGCACATGACAATAGACTTGACAATAGACTTGTCAATAGACTTAGCTATGGACTTTTAAATAACTCTGTCAAGTGATGGACTCCATCAACTTTAGAGCACTTTTATCAAGAGGATTTAACTTTCCAGCTATAGCTTTTTTACAGCTCCAGTTTTACAGCTGCAACTCTTCAACTTTTACAGCTCCAACTTTTGCAGCTTCAACCTTTACAGCTTTAACCGTACAGCTTTCACTCTACAGCTTTCACTGTATCATTCTAATAAATTCCGATTGTTTTCAAATTTTAATGAACTTTCTGAATCCATTTGGTTTTAAATGAATAAATCACACTTAGTCTAAGTGACTCAGAGAACCAAATTACAAATACTTCAACATGTTGTTTTTGAATGTCTCCAACAAATGATAGATCACACTTAAAGAACCAAATTACAAACACTTCAACATATTGTTTTTGAATGTCTCCAACAAATGATAGATCACACTTAGTCTAAGTGACTCAGAGAACCAAATTACAAACACTTCAACATGTTGTTTTTGAATGTCTCCAACAAATGATAGATCACACTTAAAGAACCAAATTACAAACACTTCAACATATTGTTTTTGAATGTCTCCAACAAATGATAGATCACACTTAGTCTAAGTGACTCAGAGAACCAAATTACAAACACTTCAACATGTTGTTTTTGAATGTCTCCAACAAATGAGTAGATCACACTTAGAGAACCTAATTTCAAATACTTCAGCATTTTTTGTTCAAGTGTAACATTTTCACTCGTGAATCTAAAAATCTATTGAACAAAATTGTCATTAAATCTACAAGAGTTTAAATTCAAGCTATTTTGTCTTCCTTCCATTTTTACTCAAATACTTGATCATTTTTGTTCAAGTGTAACATTTCTACTCGTGTAACTAAAAATCTACTGAACAAAATCTACATTAAATCTACAAGAGGTTAAATTAAAGCTTTTTGTCTTCGTTGTAAGTCGAAGCCAGTGTTTATTTAAAATCCCAGATTTATGGCTATTTCACGGATTTTACTAGGATTTTTTTAAAAATACTGCGTAGTCCTATACTAAATATTTTTTTAAAAAACGGAGTTAAAATATCATGTCACTACTGGGTCAGTGAAGTCACTACTAGCGTCATATATCATTTTGTACATTTGATTATTTAATTAGCCCTTCCAATTGGTCGTTTTGTTATTATTGTAATTAGCGATTTGTAAAGTGACCCATGCTGGTACCGGTCCTCATGCCTGGACGAAATAAAAAGGCACTATACAAATTTTAGTCGGAAGGAGGGGGGGGGGGGGTATGGGGCCGCTTAGACCCAGCCAGTCCACTGATGCGTGACGTAGACAAATATTGAATCAAACACAAGAAAACAATGTGCTGTCCACTTCCACTAAACTTGAGATACCTACACTGATGAGAAGTCTAATGTCGCATCAGTAAGGCCAACTGATCAAAATATGGATCCACCAAACAGTCGATAGCCCCTTCTTTAGATAAATTATGAGGCTGCTCTAAACAAAACTGTTACAGCTACACCAAACTAAATGAAAAGTCCTCTAATTAACCCAACGACGTATTGACTGGCCTAATTATTTTTTCATCACAATTTTTCTTGAGTTCCAGACTTCGATAATTGATTGGCTAATGTATGAATCATGCCCCTCACCACCACAACAACAAATACGTCACAACAAGAAGATGCACGTCTTGAGTTTTTATCCCAATCAAATATTTATGTCCAGAGGTGACATCAAGCGTGACGGTTTGTTGCGTCTTACAAGAACTGAACCGTGACAGTTCCCTGTTCCTACTGAACCGTACCAGTACCCTGTTGTTATTGAACCGTGACGGTTCCCTGCGACTAACAAGAACTGAATAACCATCGATGTCACTACTTGCAGTGGCAGGCCAAGATCAAAGTCAGTTTCAGACGCTGGTTTGTGGGTAGGGGGTGTGAATGAAGAGGGAATGTGTGAGGGGGGGAGGGGGTAATAGCTAAAGATAAGTAATGACGGGGGGGGGGGGGGTAAGTCTGAGAGAAATTCTGCTAACGATAGTGTTAGGAGTATGTCTGAGATTAGAACAATTGCTAGGTATAAGGTGGTAACAAATTTTTTTTAATAAAAGGTGAAGGATTCCCTACTAGGCCACTAGAAAAAAAAACAGAATCGATTATAGCAATGGGTCTCTCGGTCACCACGCGATATGTTTTGACAACTGTGAGAGTGGTCGTACAATGGCTGTGTACTTGTCGTCGTCATTATCATCATCATCCCTTAACCCTGATTAGGGTCATTGGGGCACGACATTGACCTTATAATTCATCCATCTTGGTCCTCTGCCCACCCTGGTCTGGTGTAGTTATCAAGACACAAGAGACTTGACGATACTGAACTCATTCAACATTTGGTGTTATAGAACACAATTTTAAAATACGGATCCAGGGTACAAAATAAGCAGAAAGCCGTGCCAACTCAGGAGCTGTAAAAGATGGATGTTTAACCCCAGGTTAAGTGGCCGCTGAGATTGAGGCAGGTAAAGGTGAAGGTCGTCGCCTCTCTTGACACCAAATCACTTAACGGTGTCCCCCCGTGCAGTGAATAATTCATTGAGTAGCTGGTCTTCATTAGAGTTATCTACCCATCTCTCGCCTTCAGGCTGGGCGCCATTAATGCTGACAACGGAAGTCGGAGTGAGGTCCCTTTGTAACACAAAGCGAGACCCCGATAGCGATCTCGCAGCGAGACGTGAACGAGAGTCAGACAGGGTTATCTCGAATCGAGCCGGGACGGCGGGGTAAAACACGGCAATACGTGTCGGCCGGAAACAAAGCCTCGTCCACTCACACGTTAGCACCGGCTGGTCACGTGATTTGAACATTTTTTTTTAACTCATACAAAAAATAGTTTAATATTCTTTGTGTGTGTGTTAAAAATGTTCAATATTATGTGTAAAATAAAGTCAAGTATTAGGTTTTAGCAGTGGCGGAACTAGAAAAAAAGGGCCACCCCGCAAAATATTTTTGAGGCCCCTATATATATATATATATATATATATATATATATATATATATATATATATATATATATATATATATATATATATATATATATATATATATATATATATATATATGACTATTTAAAAAGAGGGAAATAAGTCATGGAAGTGGTTTGAATGGTTGTTTATCTTGCACACTAAAGCTTATGTAGATTTTTTTTTCTTTTACGCAACAGCGTGGTTAGCTACTGTAGAACATCACTCCTATAATTTTTTTATTTTTTTTTACAAAACCACTATTAAGGTGCACGAAAACGTAATTTTGGAATACAAAGTAATTGCTTTTTAGTCGGATTTTAGGCCCCTAAACGGCTCCCCCCCCCCCCCCCCCGCATTTCGGGGTCTGGCGGTATGGTAGTTCCGCCGATAGGTTATAGACGTTAGGGGGTTTAAAGAGTAGGTCATTGGAACAGAAGGGGTTGTAGAATATAAGGTGGGGGTCAAACAGACGTGGCTGACCTACCTGTATCCTGTCCTCAGGTAAACTTGTCTTCATAGCCAGGATCTCCCTAGTCTGTACATCCGGGTAGTGGGCGTCTTTAAAGGCTTTCTCTAGCTCGTCTAGTTGGTAGCTGGTGAAGATGGTCCTGTTGGATAAAGTTTGGGTGTTAGAGTCCTGTAGGACAAAGTGTGGGTGTTAGAGTCTTGTAGGACAAAGTGTGGGTGTTAGTCCTGTAGGACAAAGTTTGGGTGTTAGAGTCCTGTAGGACAAAGTGTGGGTGTTAGAGTCCTGTAGGACAAAGTGTGGGTGTTAGAGTCATGTAGGACAAAGTGTGGGTGTTAGAGTCCTGTAGGACAAAGTGTGGGTGTTAGAGTCCTGTAGGACAAAGTGGGGGTGTTAGGCTTGTAGGACAAAGTGTGGATGTTAGAGTCCTGTAGGACAAAGTGTGGGTGTTAGAGTCCTGTAGGACAAAGTGTGGGTGTTAGAGTCCTGTAGGACAAAGTGTGGGTGTTAGAGTCCTGTAGGACAATGTGTGGGTGTTAGAGTCATGTAGGACAAAGTGTGGGTGTTAGAGTCCTGTAGGACAAAGTGGGGGTGTTAGAGTCCTGTAGGACAAAGTGTGGGTGTTAGAGTCCTGTAGGACAAAGTGTGGGTGTTAGAGTCATGTAGGACAAAGTGTGGGTGTTAGAGTCCTGTAGGACAAAGTGTGGGTGTTAGAGTCCTGTAGGACAAAGTATGGGTGTTAGAGTCCTGTAGGACAAAGTGTGGGTGTTAGAGTCCTGTAAGACAAAGTGTGGGTGTTAGTCTTGTAGGACAAAGTGTGGGTGTTAGTCTTGTAGGACAAAGTGTGGGTGTTAGAGTCATGTAGGACAAAGTGTGGGTGTTAGAGTCACGTAGGACAAAGTGTGGGTGATATAATCGTGTAGGACAAAGTGTGGGTGTTAGAGTCATGTAGGACAAAGTGTGGGTGTTAGAGTCATGTAGGACAAAGTGTGGGTGATATAATCGTGTAGGACAAAGTGTGGGTGTTAGAGTCCTGTAGGACAAAGTGTGGGTGTTAGAGTCCTGTAGGACAAAGTGTGGGTGTTAGAGTCCTGTAGGACAAAGTGTGTGTGTTAGAGTCATGTAGGACAAAGTGTGAGTGTTAGAGTCCTGTATGACAAAGTGTGGGTGTTAGAGTCCTGTAGGACAAAGTGTGGGTGTTAGAGTTATGTAGGACAAAGTGTGGGTGTTAGAGTCCTGAAGAACAAATTTTTGTTTTTATAGTTTATAATCCTGCAGGACAAAGTGAGGGTATTATAGTTCTATAGGATAAACTGTGGGTGGTATTATCCTGTAGGACGAAGTTTAGTCCTTTTAGTCCTTCATCAACAATCTAAAACCTACTTCGATGTTTATTTGTAAATAGTTCAAACTGAATTTTTTTTAAAAATCAAACTGTTATACGCACAATCAGACAGTCATAATAGTTTCATTCAGTTATTACAATCACAATCACAATTTTATAAGTAAAGATTATAGACAGTAAGTTTTTTTTACATAGTTTTTTGTTTGTATGTAAAACCAGTATTTATTTCCGTTCAATCTTCGTGTTTAAAAATATTATTTGCCTTATTTATCCCCAAAAAAAGGAAAAAAAGGAAAGTATATTCCATTAACTTTTACTAGTATAATAATGACTTATTTAACTGACAAAAAATCGGTCCATGTAACTACTACAAGCAGATTGTAAGGGTAACAAGCGAATCGTAACAATAACAAGCATTTTGTAACAATAACAAAAAACAATTGTTACAGTAACCAGCAAGTTAGAACAGTAACAAGCAATTTGCAAACTGTAACAATGACATGAAAATAGTTACAGTAGAAACCAAACTATAACAACAAGAAAATTATTACAGTAACAAGCAAACTGTAACAATAACAAGAAAATTGGTACAGTACAAACCAAACTATAACAATAACAAGCCCATTGTAAGCCCTTATACTCAGCTCCGCTACGGTAGCAATCACAGCACACGATAACATCAACAAACAAAACACCAAATCTCGCGAGAAATGAGAGAAGCCTCGCGAGACGTCGAGCACAAATCAGCTGTTGATTAACAGGAGAACCGATGATTAAATTAGTGCCTGTCGTTTGTTATCGCTTGTTCTAGTATTTCCTAATTAATATTTGCTTATTCTGCTAATTGGTTAGTTGCAGGTTGGGAGGCATGTGAGTGGCGTGACGTCACCAGTAGAGCCAGTGCACGTGCATCGATCATTGCGTATGAGCTCGTTGATAAAAATATGACGTGGTCAGGGAGCGTGACGAAGTTATTGACCCGTGAACGCTAACGGGAGAGTTTAACCCCTAGTCGACGTCAGTGTTTAACGGGAATGTTTAACCGTTGGTCGTTTAACAGAAAAGTTTAACCAGTGATCAACGTTTAACAGGAGAATTTAAACAACTGTTTATACAGACAGAAGCTAAAACATGAATAGCGTTCTCCCGTAGTCTCATTTATTCCTGTATCTGCCCTCTGTCTTCCCTGTATCTGCCCTCTGTCTACCATGTATCTGTCGTCTGTTCTGTATATGCCCCTATCTGCCCTGTATCTTCCCCTATCTGCCCTGTATCTGCCATCTTTCTGCGTGTCTCTGCCCATTATCCCAGTGTTACTCACGCTTGACATCACACTGTCACGTGCACACACCTAGCCATATTTACCTGTGACGTCTACACTATGACGTCCACACACCTAGCCATATTTACCTGTGACGTACTCACACCTAGCCATATTTACTTGTGACGTCCACACGTGCACACACCTATCCATATTTACCTGTGACGTCTACACTGTGACGTCCACACACCTAGCCATATTTACCTGTGACGTCTCTTCTTCTTTTTCTTCTTCCCCTGACCAGGCAGGTGCATGTGGTCATACACGGGACTGTCGACGCCATCTTTGTCACTGACATCTGGGGATGGAACATCATCACATTAATGATATCACTGACATCGTCACATTAATGTCACTGACATCGTCACATTAATGATAGCACTGACATCGTCACATTAATGATATCACTGACATCATCACATTAATGTTGTCACTGACATCGTCACATTAATGATATCACTGACATCGTCACATTAATGATATCACTGACATCGTCACATTAATGATGTCACTGACATCGTCACATTAATGTCACTGACATCGTCACATTAATGATAGCACTGACATCATCACATTAATGATATCACTGACATTGTCACATTAATGTTGTCACTGACATCATCACATTAATGATAGCACTGACATCGTCACATTAATGATATCACTGACATCATCACATTAATGATATCACTGACATCGTCACATTAATGATGTCACTGACATCGTCACATTAATGATGTCACTGACATCGTCACATTAATAATATCACTGACATCGTCACATTAATGATGTCACTGACATCGTCACATTAATAATATCACTGACATCGTCACATTAATGATGTCACTGACATCGTCACATTAATGATACCACTGACATCATCACATTAATGATACCACTGACATCGTCACATTAATGATGTCACTGACATCGTCACATTAATGATGTCACTGACATCGTCACATTAATGATACCACTGACATCATCACATCAATAATATCACTGACATCGTCACATTAATGATGTCACTGACATCGTCACATTAATGATACCACTGACATCATCACATTAATGATACCACTGACATCGTCACATTAATGATGTCACTGACATCGTCACATTAATGATGTCACTGACATCGTCACATTAATAATATCACTGACATCGTCACATTAATGATGTCACTGACATCGTCACATTAATAATATCACTGACATCGTCACATTAATGATGTCACTGACATCGTCACATTAATGATGTCACTGACATCGTCACATTAATAATATCACTGACATCGTCACATTAATGATATCACTGACATCATCACATTAATGGTATTATATGATCACATTAATGTTGTCACCGACATTATTACATTACTGATGTAACTGACATCATTACACGTGTCAGTGGCATCATACTTTTATTGATGTGACTGACATCATTAAACGTGTCAGTGACATCATCCTATTTCTGATGTGACTGTCATATTCCCATTACTTCCGTAATTCCAAACGTTGTGATTTAAGTTATGACGATTGTTTTCTTGAGATGTTTGTTTTAAACCACTGCAAACACCTGCATATGATTGGGATATCTATTCAATCATCTTGTATATTATTCCTTCATTAAACACCAATGTACAGGCTACTAAACACCAATGTACAGGCTACTAAACACCAATGTACAGGCTACTAAACACAAATGTACAGGCTACTAAACACCAATGTACAGGCTACTAAACACCAATATACAGGCTACTAGACACCAGTTTCCATGATACTTAACACACCCAGATATAGAGAAAAGGCTCGATGATAGCCTAGTGAACTGCTGCTCATTAATCTTGCTATAGGTCCGATGTTAGTGCTAATAACAGACAGATAATACTGGTGTTTTATGTAAGGGAATATTAGAACAACTAGCTTACTGTAGGAAGGTAGCTGATTAGTTTGACACATACCTCGGCTGATAAATAATGAATGTAAAACTCAATTGTTTTAGAAATTAACATCGACCTCCGTTTACAGTTTGACAAGTCCTAAGTCCTACATAGTAGAAAATACAACAGATTGTTGAAAAACATGTAGATTAGAAAGCTATCAAATGCACTAAGAATAAAAATGTAAACTTGTATTTTCTTAATTGGTGACAAAAAAAACGTCAGTAGCAAATATGTATAGCTGAAGAAAATGTAGGTTAGTTTGTTTTAATGTATTTAGTTAAAAGCTTGTTATACAATACGTTCGATATATTTATACAATTATACTATCAAACAGCTGCAAAATTACTGAATTCTAACCAGTATTTTCTTATTTTAACTCAACCTAAAGCCAAAACAGACTAAACCCATTTGAATTATGTCCAGCAGAGTTCCGAAAAGCCGCGCTAATGCGCATTAAACAATCTAATTAAGTGATAAATTGTAGGTCATCCGCAACATTTTACAGCAAACTAAAATTTAGTCAATAAACGCTCAAAAATAAGTTTTTGGTCTATGTTCATTTGACATAGTGAAACCAACGCTTGATAAGATTACTTGTAGCGACGTGTTATATAAACATTTGACACGTCTCTATTATAACACTATTGAACAATTCTACAAACCCCTCATCTTATATAACCTATATCACATTTCTATAAAACTTCCCGCCTACAAAATTCTAGTGTTACGTCTGCCTTATAAACATTGAACAGACTTAAATTGAGTTTATAATATTAAATGTGTAGCTATTTCTGTCTACTAATCCTTCCTACAATTTTAAAATCTGAAATACAACTAGTCAAATTAGAACTTTAATAAAATCAAAGGCAGGGTTACAGAACATTACACTATAGGCCCCTACATCCCTGTACACCATATAATCCTTTTATGTTAGGGTAGTTCTTATGGCGTCAAATACTTTATTGTGTTTACATTTCTAAAATAAAATTTTTAAAATAAATAAAAATATGTGAGAATATTTGTAAATATAGTCAAGTTAAAATAAAAATATTTGAGAATATTTGGAAAAGTTGACATAAAAAATTTTGAGAATATTTGGAAAAGTTAACATAGAAATATTTGAGGATATTTGGAAAAGTTAACATAGAAATATTTGAGGATATTTGGAAAAGTTAACATAGAAATATTTGAGGATATTTGGAAAAGTTAACATAAAGATATTTGAGAATATTTGGAAAAGTTAACATAAAAATATTTGAGAATATTTGGAAAAGTTAACATAGAAATATTTGAGGATATTTGGAAAAGTTAACATAAAAATATTTGAGAATATTTGGAAAAGTTAACATAAAAATATTTGAGAATATTTTGAAAAGTTAACATAAAAATATTTGAGAATATTTGGAAAAGTTAACATAAAAATATTTGAAAATATTTGGAAAAGTTACAATAAATTGCTGACATGACCGTGTGGTATAACCGGTCCATCTAGCCGTGAGCCTGCCACAATTTGACCGGTCAGATAGTCTGTATAGAGAATGACCGGCAGAAAGTCTCGTCCGGCCCCGGGCAGATAAAATAGTTTCAATAACAGCGGTATAAGTAGTATAAGAGATGTAACTGAAGCTGGGACAGGCCGGAGCTAAACAGAGCTAAATGAGCTTCAAACTACATCTTTAGTGTTTCGTCTCTCAATTTAACCACCTTTTGTTCATAGTAATTGTTTTCTTCTAGAATTGTTTTTTTAGACATTGTGTAAGTTCTAGTTTGTTCTTTTTTCCCAGACATTATGTAAGTTCTATATTGTTCTTTTTTTTTTCTAGACATTATGTAAGTTCTAGATTGTTCTCTTTTTCGAGACACTATGAAAGTTCTAGATTGTTCTTTAAAAAATAATACGGCCTGTTCTTTATTTATGTTTCTATCCACCCTGAACTTAGTTCAACCATTTAAGTGTACTCGTGTCAAGATTTCAGTTTCTGGCATGTCACATGTAAAAATATTGGGTACCAGCGAATAGATTAGTTAGAGCAGTAAAGACATTTCACGTATTCTCAACACTACAACATTCCGAGGTTGTTGCTGTTTTTTCACATCCTGAAACTGCCGACACTTACTTTTTCTTGGAGGTAAATCCTTTTGTCAATTTATTTTAATTTAACCCAACCATCGAACTTTTGTATTCGCCACAAAGTATCTTTTCATGCTTTGATTTATGCAGCGAACGTTTTTCGCAGCAAGCTTTCATTGAATTATAAACTTAAGTTAAGCTTTCATCGAATTATAGACTTAAGCTTTCATCGAGTTAGAGACTATTCAGAATTCTCTTAGACAAGACTCTTGGCGACACAAATCTCGTTACTTTTTAATTTGGGTAATTCCTGCCATGGTGACTTGCTTGACAACAACATTCTAATATTTTTTTAACGTCTTTCTGTTAAACTCATAGTTTTTAAATAATTTATTTTTGATTCGGTTTATGTGTAGCACTTAAATATACAATTACTTTTAAAATATTTTCCCAAATTGCCGTGGATTACAAGCATCAATTAGCGGCACCCTAAACTATTTAGTCACACACCACTAGACGACAATTATCTAGTGGTCAGAGCAAATCACAGGCTGTCATTATGCACAAATACAGTAAGGCCCAGATCCTGACTAAAACTATAGAAAGTTCAAGTTTTACAGAGGCTTCTAGTGAACTTGAGACAATAACTTGAACATTCAGAGAGAAATGTGTTCTAGGTTTTTTTTTCACAACTCTCAATCCAGCATTCACGCAAACTAAGTTCTTCTATCTAGGCAAAAATATTGGCTATGTAGCTAGGCAAAAATATTGGCCATCTATCTAGGTAAAAATATTGTCTATCTATCTAGGCAAAAATATTGGCTATGTAGCTAGGAAAAAATATTGGCCATCTAGCTAGGCAAAAATATTGGCCATCTAGCTAGGCAAAAATATTGGCTATCTAGCTAGGAAAAAAAATATGCGCTATCTATTTAGGTAAAAATATTGACCATCTAGCTAGGCAAAAATATTGTCCATCTATCTAAGCAAAAATATTGGCCACCTAACTATGAAAAAATATTGGACATCTAGCTAGGCAAAAATATTGGCCATCTAGCTAGATAAAATATTGGCCAACTAGCAAGATAAAATATTGTTTGCTAATTAGATAGAAACACTGGTCAGCTAATTAGACAAAAGCACTGGTCAACTAATTAGATAAAAACACTGGTCAGCTAATTAGACACAAGCATCGGTCAGCTAATTAGACAAAAACATTGGTCAACTAATTAGATAAAAACACTGGTCAGCTAATTAGACACAAGCATTGGTCAGCTAATTAGACAAAACTAACTTACCGTTACACGCGAAGAGCTCACGCGAGCTTCGCGAAGATGAAAACAAGTTGAAGTTGAGCATCGACTGACCACTAGGGTCTAAACCTCGCCACGCTTGACCATTGTCCAGCCGGGTCTCGATCCCCGACCCCCCTGCCAGAGGTAGAAGGGCTAGTCTCTCGTCACGTGGGTCACGTGGGGGTCCATTTCTGTAGGACAGGTTGACAGGCAAGGCATGGTGGGATGGTGTCGTTGGGTGGTGGGATGTTGTGTTGACTGCTGGTGGGTGGTGGGATGGTGTCGATGAGTGGTGTGAGTGTGTGTTTACCACTGGTGAATGGTGTGGGTGTGTGTTTCCCGCTGGTGATTGGTGTGATAGTGTGTTGCCCGCTGATGAATGTTGACTGACCACTGGCTCGCGATGTTTGGACTTATGAAACTTGCGTCTGTCCTGGTGAACATTGTCTGGTGTTTGATTGTCTCCACAGACCCCGTTAGTCCGTGACGTCAACTTCACAGAATAATCACATGTTTCCTGCGGGTGATCACATGTCCGGTCCGGGTGATCACATGTCCGGTCCGGACTGTCCAGAAAATGTAGGTTTTTCTCCCGTAAGTTGTTGGCGTTGTTGTCGTAGCAAGGCTCCGTCTGGCCGCTGGGGTCGGGGGTAGTCTTTTGCTCCGAGCTGGCCTCGACGGCCCGGGGGTCGGGCTCACCCTGCCTCAGACCCAGCAGGTCCCGGATAGAAAACGCCGTGGATTTTTTGTGCTCTGCCCCGGGGGTGGTGGCCCCCTCAGCGGTGGCCTCGGCCATTGGGAGACCGCACGTGATGTAATGAAAGAAAAACGTCACTTAGAGTTGTACTTGGTCCTCTACTCTTCAAATGCTGAATGAATATTCTTAGCCGACATTAGACACAAAAGCTTCTACTGCGATTATATACTTTGATCACATACTTCGGAAAGTTGAATTTTTCGAGTATCTCCGTAAAGTTGAATTAAATAATTTGATCTAATCGTTTTAGTTAAATTGAAGACATTCTACTCAACACATACCCAAATAGACCGCGGCAAATGCAACATTTTAAACAGATAAATAACCTTTGTGGTGAATATCCTAGCAAGTTAGCTCTCCGTTATAAAAGTCAGGTCTAGAGAGCGATTGAAATAAGCTGGTGGCGACCGCCCTAACAAACTGCTGCAGCTAACTCAGTCGGGTCTAGTCAACGATTGAAATCTTGCGAGCCCCAACAACGCGAGTGGGCCGAGATCAACTTGGCTCATTACTATGATCATAATTAGCCTACAGGCGCCGCCCGGCACCTCGCCACCACGGACGTCACCGCCAGATTCCAATATGGCGCCCTATTAGCAGGCGCTGGGCCCGTCACCCTCGCGGTGCCTCCTCCCACTCGACAGCTGATGCTCTGTTCGGCCGATCGATAGTTATTGATCGCCCAATTTACCAATGCTGGCTGGCTTCTGGTGCTAGCCGGCGCTTAGGTCTTGGACACACCCTAAAGTGATGCAAGCGTCACACGGTGTGGTGGTGGTGGTGGGGGGGGGGGGTCCACATGTAACGGCTCCATGTTAGGATGAGGAGTGGAACGTCGCTAGATGAACATACGGCTTCTCTAGCTAGATCTAGGTAGTTAAATTAGGTTGTGTAGTTAGTTAAGAAGTTAAACAAGGAAGTGTAGTTAGATATGAAAGGTAGTGTTGGAGATATATCAACACTATTAATTTGGTTTCTAGCATCTGTTTTATTGTGTCATTTGGGACTTCCTTTAAAATACTTTTTGTGTGTTTTAATGTAGATAATTGGAGAGTCTGGCTTACTTAAAGGAATACAATATGTCTTTGTTACTTGTGTGCGTGTATTTATGTATGTTTGTGTGCACGCGGCAGTGTACATTGTTGTAGAGTTTTATGCTAGTTTTCTGTACGGGAGTTGATGCTACAATATCTCAAAATCTAAGGGAGATTAGCTGTAGGTTCTTTAGATGGTACCACCATTAGCTACTGATTCTAATCTGTTGTCAGCTGTTGGTGCTAGTGATAGTGACACCTTCAGCTGTTGGTGCTAGTGATAGTACCACCATCAGCTGTTGATGCTAGTGATAGTACCACCATCAGCTATTGATGCTAGTGATAGTGACACCTTCAGCTGTTGATGCTAGTGATAGTACCACCATCAGCTGTTGATGCTAGTGATAGTACCACCATCAGCTGTTGATGCTAGTGATAGTACCACCATCAGCTGTTGATGCTAGTGATAGTACCACCATCAGGAGTGACAACGTCAGCTGTTGGTGCTAGTGATGGTGAAAACCTTCAGCTATGGCCCAAAGTTCTGTGTAATTGTGTTTAGGTGACAGTTTGAATGGTGAGCTTACAGGTCAAATGACCAGTTTCACGTGACCAGCTGGACTCAAACGAGTGGCTTGACTGACCCAGTAGTGACCTGACTGACCCAGTAGTGACCTGACTGACTCAGTAGTGACCTGACTGACCCAGTAGTGACCTGACTGACCCAGTAGTGACCTGACTGACTGACCCAGTAGTGACCTAACTGACCCAGTAGTGACCTAACTGACCCAGTAGTGACCTGACTGACCCAGTAGTGACCTGACTGACTGACCCAGTAGTGACCTAACTGACCCAGTAGTGACCTAACTGACCCAGTAGTGACCTAACTGACCCTGTAGTGACCTGACTGACCCAGTAGTGACCTAACTGACCCAGTAGTGACCTAACTGACCCAGTAGTGACCTAACTGACCCTGTAGTGACCTGACTGACCCAGTAGTGACCTGACTGACCCAGTAGTGACCTGACTAACCCAGTAGTGGCCTGACTGACTGACCCAGTAGTCACATGACTGACTGACAAAGGAGTGACCTGAGTGACCCAGTAGTCACCTGACTGACTGACCCTGGAGTGACTTGAGTGACCCAGTAGTGACCTGACTGACTAACCCAGTAGTCACCTGACTGACCCAGTAGTGACCTGACTGATTGACCCAGTAATGACCTGATTGACCCAGTAGTGACCTGACTGACTGACCCAGTAGTGACCAGATTGACCCAGTGGCCTGACTGACACAGTAGTGACCTGACTGACCCAGTACTGACCTGACTGGCTGACCAAGTGATGACCTGACTGACCCAGTAGTGACCTAATTGACCCAGCGGTGACCTGACTGACCCAGTAGTGGCCTGACTGACCCAGTAGTGACCTGACTGACTGACCCAGTAGTGACCTTACTGACCCAGTAGTGGCCTGACTGACCAAGTTGTGACCTGACTGACTGACCCAGTAGTGACCTGACTGACCCAGTAGTGACCTGACTGACTGACCCAGTAGTGATCTGACTGACCCAGTAGTGACCTGACTGACTGACCCAGTAGCGACCTGACTGACCCAGTAGTGGCCTGAGTGACCCAGTAGTGACCTGACTGACTGACCCAGTAGTGACCTTACTGACCCAGTAGTGGCCTGACTGACCCAGTAGTGACCTGACTGACCCAGTAGTGACCTGACTGACTGACCCAGTAGTGACCTGACTGACTGACCCAGTAGTGACCTGACTGACCCAGTAGTGACCTGACTGACTGACCCAGTAGTGACCTGACTGACTGACCCAGTAGTGACCTGACTGACCCAGTAGTGACCTGACTGACTGACCCAGTAGTGACCTGACTGACTGACCCAGTAGTGACCTGACTGACCCAGTAGTGACCTGACTGACTGACCCAGTAGTGACCTGACTGACCCAGCAGTGACCTGACTGACCCAGCGGTGACCTGACTGACCCAGCGGTGACCTGACTGACTGATCTGATAGTGACCTGACTGACCCAGTAGTGACCTGACTGACCCAGTAGTGACCTGAGTGACTGACCCAATAGTGACCTGACTGACTGACCCAGTAGTGACCTGACTGACCCAGCGGTGACCTGACTGACTGATCTGATAGTGACCTGACTGACTGACCCAGTAGTGACCTGACTGACCCAGTAGTGACCTGAGTGACCCAGTAGTGACCTGAGTGACCCTGTAGTGGCCTGACTGACTCAGTAGTGGCCTGACTGACTGACCCAGTAGTGACCTGACTGACCCAGTAGTGACCTGAGTGACCCAGTAGTGACCTGAGTGACCCTGTAGTGGCTGACCATTCGATTATCTCTCGAGAGATACACTTGTTATCGTGTGACAGAAATGTTATATTTAAGTTTAAAAATGTAGAAAAATACACAAAATAGAGAGAGTGTAAAAAAATAATAGAATCAAACAATTGTAATCTTGTGCGAAATCTTTTTAGTGTGGTCTTAACGTACCAGAACCCCAATATCTGTTGACTTTGGTCGACTATTTTATCTCCTGAACGTGAAGATCGCCTTCACAACAACTGGTTATGTTGCCAGGAAAATGTTTCACAACAACTGGTTATGTTGCCAGGAAAATGTTTCCCTGCACTGGGGATAAAACTCTCAGCAAATTGTACACATACCGTTTAACTACAGAGTTGTCACTTCAATAAAGTCCACGAATCACTGTGTCAAGGTGGATGTTCCTGGAGGAGGACATTTCACCCCCCCCCCCCCCTCCACTAGCCTGGGGAATCCCCCCGTCATAACACTCCTAATCTTTTTAATTTCACCATTCCAATCACATTTACAACTAGACAAGAATGGGGTAAAATTGATAAAGACGTTGGGGGAAGGACATTTTAATTGTGTTTTGTTGTTCACTATTTGCACGCTCTTGCATGCAGTGTTTCTTCCAGACTTTTCTCTCCGGGGGGGGGGGGGGGGGCACTTGAAATTTTCGGGGGGCGGTAGACTTTCTTCGGGGGGGGGGGGGCGGACACTGTTAAAAGTATATATTTTCTATATAAATTATATAAATTTCATTTCGTTCGGGGGGGGGGGGGGAGAGGGCGGTAAAAAATTTTCGGGGGGGCTTTGCCCACCCGAAGAGATGCCTGGAAGAAACTCTGCTTGCATGTCCGGTGTGGGCTCACCACATAACGGTCATGATTACAAGCTTTTGATTATATATGGCCAGACATTGCAGGTGATTTGTTCAATACATTTATCAAAACGTGTGTTACAGGTCCATCAAGACATGTGTGACAAGTTCCTGCGCGAGAATTATTGTTCGTATCATC